GCACTGTCCAGAGATGGGCAACGTGGAAATGCTGGGAAACGCTCGGTTTGCGCGCTGAGCTCCGGAGATGGCGAACGGCCGTCCATCAGACACCGAGAAGAACCAGGCCAGGGCAAGGCGAGCACGTCCCAGCTAAGCGTGTGGCTTTGGACCTCATCTTCCAAGGCGACGGCGTCCACAGACCCCACGTGTGGGCCTCGGCCACGCTCCGATCACACTCCTAAGTGTTACTTCTCACCGTATGATACAGCTGGAGCTCGCAGTGGAAAAAAAAGCCCTCGTCTTCTGCAGTGGATTCAGAGCCAAATGCACTCAACCAATAAAAATGAAAAACAGCCCCACCAAATTCTCAAAATATGTTTTGCAAAGGTTAATACTGAGTATTTTCCACACTGATTTCCAATCTTCAAACCGATGAGCCTTTGAAACCCTGGGCCCAAATACAAGTAAAAAAGGTTAACACCTATTTTTTTTTTCCCCCAAAGCTTTGAAACTTTCACCGTGGTGACTGGCAGAGCACAGAAACAGCTCTTTATCTGAAGAGGACAGATGGAATCCCTGCAAGTCCCCAGTTCCTCCATTCCACATCACCCAGGAGTCCCAGTAAAGACCCAGGAAGGCGCTGATCAGTAGGGAAGGACTGCTCGGGGCGGAGGCACGGTCACGTTCACGTTCATCAGGACCCGACGGGAGCTGGCCCTTGGCGTCTCCCACATGGCGGCCAGGAGCCCTTTGCCTGGGACAACGTACAGCCTTTCTTCCAAACACCAAGCCTGCCTCTCATGCCCTTCAGAGATTCCTATTCAACCTCACAGAGGAAATGTCACCGTTAAGGCGCTATCCTCCCCTCTCCCCGACACACACACACACACACTGGGCAGGCGTTGAGGACAAAGGTCCGGCCTGGTTTACATGGCCCGAGGAGAAGAGACCAGAACTCAGCCAACCCCACTCTCACACGCCACACGCCACTGTCAGATAGAGAACTCTGACTTAGGTACGCCCCAAATTCACATCCCACCCTTAATATACCAGATCTTCTCCTGCTCTTACACTGTAGACCCTCCAGCATCAGAGAGATGCAACGCCATCTCCTTAGGGGAGCGCAGCCCGTGCCCGACTTGCGTGTGCACTCACTTGCGTGTGCACTCACTTGCGTGTGCACCAAGTCACTCAGTCGTGTCCGACTCTGGGCGACCCCATGGACTGCAACCCACCAGGCTCCTCTGTCCTTGGGATTCTCCAAGAACTCTGCAGTGGACTGCCATGCCCTCCTCCAGGGGATCTTCCCCACCCAAGGATCAAACCCTTGTCTGTTGTGTCTCCTGCATTGGCAGGAGGGTTCTTTACCACTAGCACCACCAGGGAAGCCTGTGCCTAATTTAAATCCAGCCAAATCATTTATGCTTCTCCGTGACAGAGCCCTGTACGTATTTCTATCTACATGTATGACATCTCAATACACAAACACACTCCTCCACACACACACATACGAGCTTGTTCCAAGGAAACTTCATATTCTAGAAAAAGTTGCATACATTTATCCTGTGACTCTGCATGTCCATGTGACTATACCAACCCCAGCTGAAGGAGCGATGATAAACCAAAGAAAAATTATATTTGAAAAGTGCCATGGAAGCATAATTAACATATGATTTCAGATTTAAGTATAAAGTTTTAATTACTGACTTAATGACCCAGTACAAGAAAAGTACTTCCCAGGCTATTTTCTGAGGAAGCCTCAAAAGAGGAGATATGTTTCACGGAAACCCCTGAGAGGACAGCACCCGGAGGGTGAGTGACGAGCTGGTCTCTCCCCATGGCAGAGCTAACTTCATGAGACAGGGCTGCCGGAAGCCAAAGCAGTGGGTACAGGTAAAGTAACGCAAGCGTGGTACTTCAGATGTACCCCACAGCTGAGATACAAGACACAGTCGTCCCTCGGTATTTGCAGGGTACCGGGTCTGGGCCTCTAGAAATACCACCCTCTGAGGATGCCCAAGTCTTGTAAATAAAATGGCCTAGGAAAGTCAGCCCTCCATACCCAAAGATTCCACATCTGAGAATTCACCCAACCCACAGCTAAGAAATATACACACACACATGCATGGACCCATGCAGTTCAAAACCTTGTTGTTCAAGGGTCAGCAAGAAATGCTGAAAAATTCATTTCCATAGCTATCGTTCACTTGCTCACTTTAACCCCCAAACTGTGCCTGGGGACAGAGTCCTCACACGTTTTTAGAAGGAAAGTGGAGACTGTAAAGGTGATCCTGTCTTTGTGCTTTGCTTACTTGGGCTTCCGCAGTAGGAGCAACTTGGTCCCCCTCCTCCCCAGGTGAAGGAGCAGGCTGGCTCAAGCATCCCGCCGTCCACGGAGCCCCCCTCCCCTGGGCCTGGCCAACCTGCCAGCTCAGCCACATGGCTTTAGCAAAGTCACTTCCATCATCCATGCTAACCCACTCTGATCTTTTTCTCAGGGGGTGAGAGATCATAACTGCCTGAGTCAAGCAACGTGTTAGACTCTCACCAATGGGCCCAAACACAATTTATCACAAGTTCTCGTTGAGAACTTTAAAAACATCTTAATTCCAGAAAACAAGCAAGTTTTTCTATTAAAACTCTTCATTTTCATCCTATATGAATTCAGACCCATTTCATGGATCTTCATAATCTGACTCCCCCCAGGTCTTCTACTCCGGCCTCCTCCCTCCTGCTTTCTGATGCTCATGGACTCATGGACGTAACTTAGACGAGCCTGGATCCCAAGCGGCTTCACCAGCTCTTACCCCAGGATGAAATGCACTCCCGCTGTCCTGACAGCTTCCTGGGTCACCTCTCAGCCTTAAGAACTCAGTTCAGAGTTTACCTTTCCTTCCCACCCTGCGCCTCTGCAAACCAACCCCCCAAGACTGGGGTGTAACAGGACGCCCGTGCTCTGAGGGAATCTCCGAAAGGCTGCTCTCTCCCCCGCATCCTCTCGCAAGCCCTGACCCTGATGACCAGTTCATCCCCGCGGCCTGGGACACAGGAGGACGTTCAGCAAACACCTACTGAGCTGTATGTTCATTTGATACAGAAAGGAAAAGACTATGGCCTAAAAATCTGCATTTCTCAGAACAGCCAAGTTATCTAGAAGATAATAAAGGATGTATTTTATGGCATAAATGGAGATACAGAAATACAGAGCTGACTCATGGACACAGCAGGGGCAGGAGAGGGTGGGATGAACTGAGAGAGTGACTCTGACATATATACCTGACATGTGTATACTGACATATACACAAACATACTGACATGGATACGCTGCCGTATACACAACAGCTAGTGGGAAGCTGCTGGAAACACAGGGAGCTCCGCCTGGTGCTCTGTGAGACTGAGAGGGCTGGGACAGAGGGCGGGGTGGGAGGGAGGCATCTAAGCCTACCTATGACTGATGCAATGATGTTATAGGGCAGAAACTAACACAACATTGTAGAGCAATTATCCTCCAATTTTTAAAAACAAAGATACATTTTAAATATGAAAAACAAGCATTTAGTGCTTATGACCTAATGAATGATACTTTCAGATCAATCATGCATTCATTCTTGCAACAAATACATGGCCTCCTTTTAGCTGTGAGGAGCTGTGCTGGGCTGGGGCCCCTGCCAGCCCCAAGGTTGCCTTCCAGCACATGGATCAATAGGAACAGGGCACCCTCTCTGGACAGATGAGTTATAAAAGCTGGGCTAAGGGCTCCAAACGCCCGCCCCAGCTGGCTATGAGCATGGAGGCTCTGCCTACAGAAGTAAATGAGACCAAGTCCTAACTTTGGGGCCGCTCAGATTCTAGTGCCAGAGACAGACAAATACACAGTCAGTCCGCAACATTTTCTATGTGACCCTAACACCCGACTCTGACATACAACACTGAGTGCACTCCCTCTAAATCCTCACCTCATTGAACACTGGTGCTAGAATCATCCATCTGAACTCGGGCCAAGGCGTTCACCTGAGCCAGCAGAGACCTCGAGCCCACTTAGGCAGGAAACAGGGACTGTTTGCAGACTCAAGGAGGCACCATGACTGGCCCCATTTTCAACTACCACCTTACGGGTACCGGCCGAATTATTTCGCCAAGGAACATTCTTGAGTAATTTGTCTGATTTAAGTCATTTCTTACCTTGCATGTGCTTGAGAATATTTTTTTCTGTAATAGTAAATATTTCCTAAGATACTTTACTCAGGTTGGAATTATTTGCTTTAACAGTTCTCTGCTTAACACTGCTATACTTTTATCTCCTAAGTTAAATATAAAAGATAATTATTGCTCCCAGTGGATAAAATACATTAGAACAATACAAATCTTTTAAAACAATAAGCTAAAATAAGCTGGCTTTCTTAACACTAAAGAACCTCTTCACAGTTAAAAGGAAATGTTCATTTTTATATGAAATATATATATAATAAACATACACACACATATATATGTGTGTTTTTTGACCCCTTCCCTATAGAAAATACATTGGTGTACCTATTTTCTGAGTTCTGCACATAATGGTCCGCGTTAATGTCAACTACGCCTCTCCACTTCTCAAGCTAATATAACACTGCTACAAAAATAAATCTCAAAACAAGTGTGCAGGAGGGGTGAAAAAAAGTAATTCAAGGTGATCCAGCTGGCAAAGAGCTGACCATTTATTTCAGATTCCTCAACCCAAAAAGGTGCCTGTCGAGAGACAGTAAATCTCAGACTCTAATACCCACCCTAATGGTTGGGAAGGCATTGTAATTCTGTCGAATCCAATTAATTCATTCAACAAATATTTATGAAGCATCTCCTGAAACAGGAATTGTGCAGGGCAAGAGGAAGTGGACGAGAGAAAGAGAACAGGGGTCCTGGAGCTGACCCACCACCAGGAAGGGTCACCATCTCACGAGCTGCCTTTGCTGCCACCAAAGAGATACTTGATTAAAGACTTATTGCAAACCCTCCTTCCCACTAATGCAGAGCCCTACCTCTTAGATTTCTGGGATGAATCTGTTTAGTTCGAGGCATCTTCTTTGATTCAGGGGCCCCCTTTTCTTCTTAGAAACTGTAGGAAGAGCAGGTCATGAAAAGGTAGCTCCATAAACCCAAGGTCCATCAATTAATCCATGTGCTAAAAAAGAAAAAAAAAAGTCATGTCTTACTATTTTTCACTACTTTCCAAGGAAAAAGACACCAGAAGTTATGGCATAATACAGCACTACTCTAAAACTCAACAAAAGGTAACCGACCTGAAAGCCCCTGCGAAAGATGACTTACTAACTTTAATTAGACACAGTACATGTCATTTTGTCATTATCTGGGCTTCCCCAGTAAGAACATGGTGGGGGGCGAGGGGGGGAAATCACTGTACCTTTAACAAAAAAATACTGAAAACATTCAGTGAACTGTGTTTTAAAGCAACATTACCAGGTTACAATAAGGTTTTGCTGTATACAGTACATGCCTACCCATTTATAAATTTCGTAGGGACAAGGACCATGTTTCAATCACTCTGTGTTACTGGGTTAATTCGGTAAATAAGTATGGCTGCCACTGGGGCTGTTCCCCCACTATCGTGGTTTTCCATTTGAGGCTCCTGTTGAGACTGTTCTTTCTGCCTCCCTGTGTTGAGCCAGAATGTGTGGCCAGTTCTGGCCAATAACCTGTGAGTGGAGAGACAGGCGTCATTTTCAGGCTTTGAGTTTAGTTATCAAAGTGAGATCCCCCAGCGGTCTCTTCCTCCTCTGCCATGAGACAGGCACTGTTCTAGACAGCAAGTCTGACAACATGGAGCTGAGCTCCTGCCAATGCAGTGTGATCAGGGAGCATAAACATAAAAGAGATCTTTGCTGATTTAAGCACTGAGGCCTGGGAGTTATTTGTTACTGCAGCAAAACCGTGACCTAACTTACACATCTTAAAAAGTGCAATTTCAAATACAATATGCCAAAACACTAATCCAAAACTAAATCATCTCTTTCCCAGAGAGATTCCCAGGAGATACTCAAGGATCCTTGAGCTAAAATCTTAGTTTTAACTCCCTGCAATACAACTGATAAGCAAAGCCCGTGATGCTGCTGCTGAACGTGAAACTATGTTTAATCACTAAGCAAAGACACAAGAATGGAACAGAAATACTTTAAGACTTTTATAACATCCAATACTGAAGGAAAACAAAAAAAGCAAATACTTATTGAGAAGCTACTGTGTGCCTATGTACTTCCTACACATTACCTAATTTAACCCTAATGGTAGCTGCTTAGGTAACTATCATTTATCCAGTTTATATATAAGAAAATTAAAAGAGAAAGAGGTAAGGGAACTGAGCCCATAGTCAGTAACTAAGAAACATGGCAGCACCTGACTCCGGGACCCTCAGCATTTACTTCCTGGCTGGAGGTAAGACCTATTCCAGGGGGTTTACTCAAGAGGCTCTATCGCACAAGTCACAACTGTTAATAAATATTTCGGTGTCAAATCAGACTGGGCTCAAAGCTTGCTGTGTGGCCCCATTTAAGGTACTTAACCTCTCTGAGGATCAGATTGCCCAACTGTAAAACAAGGAAATAGTATCCCCCCTCAATGGGTTGTTGAGGAACCATGTGGATGCTTTGCTTACTGCTGGCACACAAAAATATCAAATATTAATTCTTCTTAAGAATGCCTGTGTGGGAAAGACTGTATCTAATAACCAGTATAAGGTTTTAGAAATTTATGGTTTCAATACAGCAGAGAATAGAAGGAAAGAAGGCTATAATTAACTTCAGTATTTTATCCTTGATAAGGCTGTATGCAGGCACTGTACAAAAACATTACTTGCAATTTTTGAACTGCATGGGAAAGAATATAAAGTATGATGGTCCAATACTGTGGACTTCATCTAGCGCTGTGCAACATGATCTATAAAAGATATGGCTCCTCAACGCCCTGCATTAAAAGCATCCACCATTCGACTGATGAAGCTGCCTGATTCAAGAGAGAATTTAGAGACGTCAAGGCCGAATAAATTGTAGGAATGCTCAACTCCCAACTTAAAGCTTTTAAATGGTCACGATATTTAGAAGTTTTTAAAGCGTGAACTCCGACTGGAATTCAATCACGTGACACTAAAAGATGAGGAGCCTGCACAGAAAATATTCCAATTTGCACATACAAATTTCCAATCAGTAACAGCTTTCCGCTACCTCGTTCACGGCCTCCCCACCGTCCCCAGCTATCCACCCCAGTGTAAATCCTTGGGGTGGAGGGAAGAGGGGGAGGAGGACTGAGTATTTCCAAAGACAGCAGCATTGTAGCGACGAAGATGAGTGCTGAACCCGTTCCCTTACAGCAAGAGAGATAAATACTACATGGAGCAAAACCATGACACGATCAAAAAGCGTAAAGACAGTTGCAAGGAGAAAAAACATGAATGAATGTGGAGGGCGGAGCCTGGGAAAACCCCTCTGCAACGCTGCACTGAACAAAGCGCTTCGCATGCCAGGAGGGGGCGGGGGGGGATGGAAGTGCCAGCTCAGGAAGGAGCCCAGAGTGAATGCGGAGAGCGGCAGGAGGAGGAACAGGACGCGAGGAGGCGAGCGCGGCAGCCCGGAGACTCCTCCTCGCCGCCGCCGCCACCGCCGCCGCCGCCGCCCCCTCCCCTCCCGTCCCCTCCCCTCTCCAGCAGCAACTCCTCCGCCAGCCCGACCCTCGGGCGATCCGGCGCCGACCCACGCCCCCAACCCACCCCGCTGTGCTGCGGGAGCTTACTCCCAACCCGGAAAGAAAACTACCCAGGTGGCTGGGAGTAAACAGGCACTTCGAGCAAAGAACGAAAGGGGAAAAAAAAAAAAAAAA